TACCAAGACAATGATATATTTGCTTTATATAGCTTCACATCTTTTAGCACAGTTTGCTCAGTATAAATAGTGAGTATCAGTCAGACAATCCAGCTCTTCTTTCTCAATTTTGTTTTCCTATTTGCTTCTTTTTAGCTTCTTAATGAGATGTGAAAACAAGATGGCTGAGTGGTTTGACAATTCATTTCAAAATAGAAACTCATGAATTTTAATATCTTACTATAATGACTGCAAATAAAAATGAAATGGCCCATCCTTTGTTCCTAAAGTGGGCCGTAAAACAATTGCTGAAAATGAGCCGTCCCTTGGATTAAATATGAACAAATTGGGTTAAACATGCTATGATCTGTTAGCGAAAAATGAAGTACATACTGTAGGCCTTTTTGTAAATAAGGCACATGGACAATTAAAATGTGGGATACACCTGTTCTACTCTACAATAACTTCTCTTTATTAAACTACAAACCTCTTTTGTTTCTCTCAGTCGAGTTGAGATGCTCTGGGTTTGTCCTGGTCAATCTTTAAAAGTTGAGCTTTTATTTTAATGAATGTTGTTTTATCATATGCTGTGAATCACATGTATCTATGTATGTATCTATCTTTAGTCAATGTTTACATGATGTGCTACATGCATTATCTATCTTTTTAATCTGACTCACTTTTTGTCTGATTTACAAGTTTGTTGTCACTTTTAGCTACTGTTTTAGTACACGATCAAGGAATTAACTTAATGTCAATTTATAACCCTTAATTTTATATTAATGACATATGTTTTGAAATACCCGTACATTTTTTCTCCAATATTTCATTCCTTCAAAAGAAGTAACTTGTTCATATTTTTATCTTGCCCAATTTCTCTCTCTCTCTCTTTATGTCTCCCTCCCATCTCTCTGTCTCTATCTCTCTGTCTCTCTGTAGATTATTGAGTCTATGAGTACCAGTCTGTGTGGGTGTGAAGAGACCAAAGCAGAGACTGTATCCAAGCTGAAATGCATGGTGTATGATCACTTTGATAACCCTACCATTATGAAAGATTCTATCTAAGATGTAACTAAATATGTGTCATGTATTAATTATAATTGTGATATTATGATCAAATATCTATAATTCTCGGTTTCGTTTTTTCTGGGACGCACTGTATAATGTAAGACGTATAATGCTCAACCAGATCTATGATGTCGAGCTCAACGAGTTCCCTGATTGTTGTTTCAACCTTCTCACGTGATTTGCTATCTATCGTTAAAAAAAAGTTTTCACCTAAATCAAATTAATCTTAATATTATATTAAAAATCTCAAATGAGGGAGTGTAAAACAAGAAACGTTTTGAAGTCATATTTGAAGTCTCATTTACTTGAAACTCCAAATGAACTATTATAGTACCAAAGATGATGATACAAATCAAGCCCCGGTATTATATTTGCCGTTTAATTACATTCTTAGTAAAATCATAACTTTGATTATTTTAAAGTGATTTTGAAATGTCGATATCTATAGGTTAAGACAAAGTGGCGCATAACCGTAAAGCGGGCCTTATACTTTACTACAAACATCAATTACCCTTAAACTCTATCTCTGCTTTTTGTACCAAATGTTTAAGAAAGTAAAACCACTGACGATAAAATGACTTCATGTTAATTTGAAAAATGTCAATTTGCAAACAGAAACAGCACATTACTAATTACAATATTAAAGAAGTAGCTATGTAGGATGGGCTTTCTTTGATATATACTCATATTTAATATTCACACAAGCAGGTCTGCGAGGTCTTTGAGCAAAAGTGAGCTTTGTTGAAAATAGCTTGAGGTTTAATATCACTATTTATTTTTTAAAGTAGATCAATTAACTGCTGGCAATTATCGCCAAACATTATACCAGAAATGCCATCGTAACTCTCAATAAATAAAATCTATAATTCTCTTTAAAATATCTTAATACATCATCGAGTTGTTCCTTGACTTCTTGAGGACATTCGATACCGTTAATTATAAAATACTTTATACAAACTTCCTTACCTTGGCATCAGACAGAATGCATGAGATTGGTTTAAGAGTTGTCTTACTGTTAGAGTACATTTACAACCGTAAACAAATTAAAATCTTTCACTTAACCTGTTACCTGTGGAGTTCAACAAGGCTAAATCCTTAGTCCTCTATTATAAATAGTTTATAAAAAATGATACCTTAGAATTCCAGATGTTCTTACACTAATTCTCTTTGCTTTTAAGCTTGTGAATGCATTAAATACTGAACTTTAAAAAGTACGAATTTGATTAAGCCAATAAAAATAATTTTAATTTGAAAAGAAGAATTACATGATTTTCAGGTACTCATTGCGGTATCTGCTTGATCAAATCTTTATAGTCCTGAAAATAGAAAAAGTTTAAAGTATATTGAGGTCTTACAATAAAAAATTAACAATAACTTATCATGGAATCCACATATTGGTAACGTTTGGAACTCTGCCAAGAGAAATTGCAGTCATTAACGAACTTAAACAAATTATAATCTTACCAAGTTTGAATTTTATAGTTCTTGGATGGCGAAATGTAGTACAAAAGAGACTTGATGAAATTATGCTCCTCCAGAAATAATCTTTGGGAATTATTTGTAATATTTCCTTTAAAGCACATACTGATACATTATATATACAGTATCTCATTCATCGCATTCTTGAGATAACTGACCTTTATCAATTAATTTAAAACTGGAAATAATATACCTTTTGTCTTGAAGAAGTGAAGAATATTGCTTTACTTACATACAATACTGGACAAATTTAATGATTATCACTTGCGAAAAAGCAGAATGGTTGTGGATTTTAAGATTAAAGTAATTCACAGAAACTGAGATGGAATTCTTTAGCTATAAACAAGCTTTAACTTTAGAGAGTTAAAATCACTTGTTGGAAACTTTGTACTGAACTCTTACTGATTTAATCTACTCTTTACTTTGTCTATTCTTCACATCTTTGACTGTACATTGTTTATATCTTTTCTCGTGGGTAACTGTATCTGTATATTTCATCTGTATATATTGTACATACATATAATAAATTATAAAAAAATTATATTATTTCATTTCATTTCATTTCATTTCATTTCTTTATCGTGTCCATAAAGGATAATTGTTTATATGCACATGAACAATCTTGCTTCAACATATGAACATAGGAACAACATATAATTTGCCCTAGCCTTTCCTATTAAATTAATCAATTTACTGTTATGGACACATTAAAAAAAATACAAGATTAGATATAAAGAACAAAAGCAAGATCAGCCTTATCTTTTAAATAAGGCCTCGGTTCTCTCCCATAGGATAACTATCTTTAAAATAACTGCACACAAAAAAATATTACGACCCTGAATATAGCCTGCAATACAATCAGCTAATATTAATCTTCTAAGGGGGTCATTACAGGGGTGTTGTCTGTGAATCATAGGAGGAGGGGGATTCGAGCCAATATCAATCTTCTAAGGGGGGAGTCATTACAGGGGTTGTTGTCTGTGAATCATAGGAGGAGGGGGATTCGAGCCAATATCAATCTTCTAAGGGGGGGAGTCATTACAGGGGTTGTTGTCTGGGAATCATAAGAGGAGGGGGATTCGAGGTGATATTAATCTTCTAAGGGGGGGGGGGGTCATTACAGGGGTTGTTGTCTGTGAATCATAGGAGGAGGGGGGATTCGAGCTAATATTAATCTTCTAAGGGGGTCATTGCAGGGGTTGTTGTCTGTGAATCATAGGAGGAAGGGGATTCGAGCTAATATTAATCTTCTAAGGGGGTGTCATTGCAGGGGTTGTTGTCTGTGAATCATAGGAGGAGGGGGATTCGAGCTAATATTAATCTTCTAAGGGGGTGTCATTGCAGGGGTTGTTGTCTGTGAATCATAGGAGGAGGGGGATTCGAGGTGATATTAATCTTCTAAGGGGGGGGGGGTCATTGCAGGGGTTGTTGTCTGTGAATCATAGGAGGAGGGGGATTCGAGCTAATATTAATCTTCTAAGGGGGGGTCATTGCAGGGGTTGTTGTCTGTGAATCATAGGAGGAGGGGGATTCGAGCTAATATTAATCTTCTAAGGGGGGGGGGGGTCATTGCAGGGGTTGTTGTCTGTGAATCATAGGAGGAGGGGGATTCGAGGTGATATTAATCTTCTAAGGGGGGTCATTACAGGGGTTGTTGTCTGTGAATCATAGGAGGAGGGGGATTCGAGCTAATATTAATCTTCTAAGGGGGGGGGGGGGTCATTGCAGGGGTTGTTGTCTGTGAATCATAGGAGGAAGGGGATTCGAGGTGATATTAATCTTCTAAGGGGGGTCATTACAGGGGTTGTTGTCTGTGAATCATAGGAGGAGGGGGGATTCGAGGTGATATTAATCTTCTAAGGGGGGGGGGGGGGGGTCATTACAGGGGTTGTTGTCTGTGAATCATAGGAGGAAGGGGGTTCGAGGTGATATTAATCTTCTAAGGGGGGTCATTACAGGGTTGTTGTCTGTGAATCATAGGAGGAAGGGAGTTCGAGGTGATTAACAAAGGATTAGTTACCCGTGGGAAATGGTGGAGAGGGTCATTGTTGTAATATAAAACGCTAAACTGAATATATACTATGCATCTTACGATAGTTTCCAAGTAAATTCAACATTAAAATCAAAGTATTTTTGATGCATCTGTATTCCATATATCACATTGTCAATGTCTCATGATTATACTGTGCAAATTAATTCATATTTTGAAATATTGGACAAGAAAACATTCATTAAAAAAACCCTTACAATTAGCGATATAATTTACCATTAATAAGTTCAGTGAAGAAAAAAAGGTGATATATTAAATCTAGTCATCTTTTCCCACGTAATGGTTTAGGTTAATATGACTGGCCTAGTGCATGTACATTTCTTTGGGGATAATTTCTGGGCTCAAACATACTATTTATACCACACCAAGAACACTTCGCACTGTCAAAGATATTTTTGTCGCTTAAAAGCATAACAAGTTTAAAACAATGAGTCCATAATTATAGTTTATCCCATCTTTTCAATACTTACAGATAATACAGATTACAGAAATGAATAATATTTTGGGGATTGATAAGTTACGTAATATATTTATAGGACGGATGTTAGTTTATAGAACTCAAACATTCCGTCTATGGTATTACTAAATACTACATATATTCTATAGGGTCTATAGGGATAGAGTTATAGTAACAACAACAAAATAGAGACCTCAGTCTTAATGCACAATGCGCGTCAAACAACGATTTCCTCCTTGTTAAATATCTTCTTTTTTTTAATCGGTATATAAGGGAAAATGCTCTCTAAATGACTCTGGAACACTTTTGAATAAATCATATGTTCACTGTTGAATCGCTCAATCATGAAATATATACATGTTGGTCATCTTTTTATTCAAACTTCAGATTTACAAATTTTGTTGTATACATGGAAGCTTTTTTTTCCGAATGGAAATTATAAAAGGGAACTTTACAATTGGATTGATAGCCCAGTCTAATTGAGTCAAAATGGTAACTAAAGCAAGTCACCCATGTGATCATCCCTTTGAACATGGTGAAAATATTTGAAGAGTTTATTTTTATGTATCTTCGTTCCAATTGCGATGTATTTCATTTCCCATAACAAAAATTACTTACCAACTATAATCGCACAAACCTAATTAAAATTAGAAGACGTAGGAAATCATCTTCATAAAAGGTAAGTATTTCCACTCAAAGCTTTACATGAATTGAAACCTCGATGTTCTTCTCTTCCGGTATCTTGCTCATGCTGACAAGGACAACATCAGTTGCTGCTGACGAGGACGTATTCTTAGAGCTATGCGTGCCGCTACTAGATGTGGTAACATCTTGTCTCCTGACTCTTGCTGCAAGACAGGTCAGTCCCCACTGCTTACGAACCATTGGTTTCCGAACACAGTAGAGCAGGAAGATGAACAGTCCTTGAAATGAGTTCAGCACAATGAAGATGGGCTCAATCACCTGGGATAAAATGGAATAAAGATAATCATTACGAAAATGTGGCGGTTGAAACATAAGTATTATTACGTCTTTATACTCGGTTTTACGTCTTTCTAACGGTTCCCTGTTCGAACACTCAACCTCGAGCACATTATATGATATGAATGTATATTAGTTTTTATATTTCTAAACTTTCCTGTATAAGGCCAAATAAAAAAAATTAAAAAAAATGTTTAGCGTCCTTTTTTTTTCGAAAAATAGGAAGGAGGAGGCCCTTTTTTTTTTTTTTTTTCTTTCAAAATGGCCGCTCGGTACATTTTCCCTGACAGTCGGGTTATGTTTTTAGATGGCCGCCGACATTTTCTTTTTCTTTTTTTTTAATTTCAAAAAAAAAAAGTAGGAGGCGGCCCCCCAAAAGGAAGCGGGCGGGGACGCCAAACATGTTTATTTTTACATGGCCTAAACTATAAACTTTTACAAGTTTTACAGTAGAAAATGCAATCAATTTATGCTTCTCTTATGGATATTGTTTTTTCTACTGCACCTGACTGAATTCTCGAATCATGAGGAAGTATCCAGTGATCCATGTAAGACCAAGCAGAAGGAGGATACAGATTGCATTTTGAACCCGTTCGATGCTCTCTCTACGTTCCACCTTGGCCTCTCTCTTGACCCGACCAGCGACATTAGAAGACTTCATCAGTTGACGGACGACGAGGGCAAAGATGACGACGTTGAACAGGATGATGATTGTCATGGGAATAAGGAGACCACCGATTTGAGCCCACAGTTGGAGAAAACATCTAGAGGTCAAGTAAAATTAAAATTGAACAAATTAGAGAGAACAATCCCCAGCGTCAAATTATAATAATACACTAATCTTTGGTACACCTCAATCTTATTACTATTAGGTATTTGGCATCACCTGCGCCTGGCAGGTGAAAAGCGAACTGAATCACTGTAACCCTCGTCTCATCTAATCGAGAGTGTGAAGGGGGACCACTACACCGGGGTTTCCCCCATTCAAATACGAATAGTGCGGTTGGTTCTAAACTTGCAAAGTTTGTGACTCTCCTCTACAGGGGGTCACCATTTAACATCCAACCCAATAGACGGAGTGTTCTCCAATTAAACAAAGCGTGCGTCTATGAAATAGGGGTGGGGCTCGTTAGCACACAACGCAAGCTGCAGTCATCCGCCCCTGGTTTGGACTCGAATTTTGGTACTTTAGGCAGAGGCTTTACCGACTGAGCCATTTCTACACAGGTATTTGAAATAATAATAATAATAACAATAATAATAATAATAATAATAATAATAATAATAATAATAATAATAATTATAATAATAATAATATGTCTTGTTTACCCAGGGAGCCTCATCAGTATTCATACTGTTCTCCCTGAGGGCCCTGCAGTCATATTTCATATTTCAAATCCTGTGGCATGTATTTTTTTAATTGAGCGAACCATACCAGACCGAGATGGCTTTTTGAAGCCAAATTTATTAAAAGAGATGGAACGCTGTATGAAAATCAAATGTGCTGCAATAATTTTTTTTAAATAAATATAACAATAAATTGTCGTAGAAATATGCTCCGTCCTATTGTCTTAATAAAGCTCTATTTTTGTTTATTATTACCTTGTCACGAAAGGCCCAACTGTTCGTGTTATAATACCACAACACATTGTAAAATATATTTCTGTTTAGAGATTATGATATTAACAGGTTTGTAAACTACTCACAGATCTTCGTGCGCGTATTTGTCCTGGGCAATGGCTCCAGTTATAATGACAATCATTGCAGGAATACCTTAAATAATAATAAAAAAAGGGGGAAAGACAATTATGATTAATTATATTTCACGTGTCAATGGACAGTTTTAAGGTCTTTCCCTAAGGTTAAGATAAAATGCCTGTTTGCAATCGCCAATTGTGTGATTTAAGCAAAGTGAAAGGAAAGGGTGCAGATGGTCATTGTTATTACAATCGCTAAGATAACATAGCAATGGGGTCATGTGTCTTCTAGAGTACAACGATCAATATGTTGATCACTCGACAGATGTAAAGATCTTATTTAAATGGAAAACCGTTTTGAACGATTATATAGACATCACAAATGGCCTGCCCAAGATGCGACCATGCATCTAAAACTTTTACGCTGTAAAGCCATGATACTGTGAAATTAAGTATCAATAGCGTCGGCAAAATTCACCCTGCCGTTTCAGATAATCATAACAAATGTCACATATTTTGAAAAAGATGGCGATGAAAGCCTTTCACGAAGAAGAAATCATGCATGCATATAGCAATCTTTGAATACAACTCTTTTAAATGCAGGTAATTTAATATTATTGTTGTTGGTGTAAATTTCATATGTATTTTATTATATAAACCATTCTAAATTATATAAATAACTATATATATATATATATATATATATATATATATATATACATTATATTCTGTATCCATTAAAAACCCATATAATTTTGTAATGATTTTAAAAATGGTTATACCCCAAGCAACGGCACCAGCTTTGACCATGAACTGTGGAATGTAGGTATCAAAGATCTTGACGATGATGAGATAAGTATTGTATCCCTCCACACCCATCCACGTGATCGAAGATAGAACGAAGAAGTGAACGAGCGCCGTAATGAACCCGCATGGACCTGCCTTTACATGACATTGACGTTTGGCGCTGTCCAGGGACATCATGACAATGAACGATACGTAGAGACAGAGTAACGTCAGGCACAGGCAAATGAAGATCTGGTTGGTCTGTTTTCCCCTCAGAACTCTTTCAGTTAACAAAAATATGAAGTTAATTTGTATTTGATTAATACATTTATGAATGTAGTGCATATATTATTATTTAGGAATAAATTGTTGGTGCTAGAGATTAATGATTTTATAGGCAATAACAAAATATGCAGCATGCACAATTCGTCCGTCAGTTCGTCCGTACCGCTTTTTCGTTTAATACTGCAATTTCTCGAGAACCATCTGCTTTATGATAATATGTATCACCATAGGAAGACAATCCGATTAGATTTTGGAGTAACTAGGTCAAAGGTCACAGAGGTCAACTTTTGAAATTTCAGGTATTGGCCTCGTTATCTTGATATCTTAAGAACCACTAGAGATATGAGGCTCAAACTTAGTAACAATATGTATTTCATATAGGAAGACGATCTGATCAGATTTGGGGTTAACAGGTCAAAAGGGGAAGGCTTACGAAGGTCATTTTCCAAAATTCTAGATACACATATGGCTCCGTTTAGTCTCATTTCACAACGCCCCCTATCGTCAGAGCATGATCAGAGTCAGCAGCCTAACATGTTAGCCTATGGACGTTTTTTTTTTAAATCGTTAAAAAATTCATTTTTTGTTTAAACGAAAAGCACAGCCACCCCGACGTACGTTATCACTAGCTCTTTCATTGGAGCCCTCATGTCTCATTGACTTTTGAAAGTTCACCCACCGTAATTTTTCAAAGCTTTGCAAGCTCGTCATTGCCTATAATACACATGTGAAACAAGTCTAACTTTGGACTCAGTTTGCCAAGCGATTTGAAGATTATTTCATTATGTCCATTTCATCAACCCCCCCCCCCCCCCCCCACCGTAATTTTTCCATTTAGTAAAAGCAAACATTTTGCCGAGTTTAGCAAAAACATGAATATTCATGAACGGTCAGACAATACAGCCTTTTAGTACGTAACGTATAGTGAATGGGAATGGGCGATGATCCGTTCAGGAGGTAGAGGTCAGTGGTTTGTGCTGGCAATGTTCACGCGAGCGAAAATGAGACAATCGGAGCAATATGCTACTATCAGCCTTGCAATCACGATATAATTGATCAAGAACCACTCGAGATATAGGGTTCAAGCTTTGTAATAGCTTGAAGCATCGTTGGAAGACAATATAATAATATTTGTGGTAAGTAGGTCAAAGTTCAATGGTCATAGAGGTCAATTTCTGAAATTAATTATTTTTAGCCTTGCTATTGCAATATCTAAACATGATGACAATATTATTATTATATTATTATTATTATTATTATTATTATTATTATTATATACCTCACTTAAGTAATCCAGCAATCTGATTGGTCGAAATTGCATTCATAAACTTTAACTGTTCCCGAAAATTCCCGGTAACCATGGTTAAAAAACAGTTCAAAATCCCAATAACCATGGTTATTGGGAAAATAGGTCAGTCTCCATGGTTACCCCATAGGTTTACATGTTAAAAAATGGTCTGAGCGATCGAGGATACCGTACGTGTGCGAAGAATTGGTCGGTAATTTCAATACAATTGAATCTCGATCGATCTTACCGACAATTTTATCTTGCATTGTTGACATGAAGACGAAAATAAACTTCCAAAAACAAAAAAAAAACAACATCTGCCGATAGATCTTGATCTAAGTTCGTGCCAATATGCATTGCAAAAGTAAAAGAAGGGCCCGTTTAATGAAGCAGCGGCGAAGCATCGACCACGCGAAGCCGTTTTCAATTCATTTTAATGTATATATTAAAGAAAACTACTGTGCATGGTGACATAGCGCGCTGGCCTAGCGGTTTGAGGCGCTGACATTAGTAAAATCACCTTTGGTACGCAAGAGTTCGAAACTCGTCTTCGGCAAAGTTTTTTTTTTTTTTTTTCGTTTTTTTTTTCGTTTTTTTTTTTCGGTATATAAAAGTGTTAATGACTGCTTTAATATTCGAGAAATAGTTGTTTTTATACGCTCTCGGGAAGGTTACAATTGGGCTATTCCCCTCGGCACGCCTCGGGGAATAGCACAATTCTAACCTTCCCGAGAGCGTATAAAAAACGCCTCGGGGAATAGCCCAATTGTAACCTTCCCGAGAGCGTATAAAAACAACTATTTCTCTCAAAGCAGTCATTAATACTATATTATTCGGCAATTCACAAAAAATATAACAATGTAAATATAGGTAAACAAATATTACTACAATGTATTAATAGGATAGAATTTTGGGGTTATAGTAAATCAATATCATTCAGTTGACAATTGTGTTTTTTTTCCACTATCGTTTGTCATTGGTCATAACATCCTTTTCCGATAGTGAATTAATGGCGAATGCACATGGGAGAATTTTTCTTGTTATATTTCTTGACGCAACACGATTCCGCATCCGTGTTTAAACAACGAATCTGAAGTAAAATCATGATCCAGGCGCTTTACAATAATTGTATAGATATTTATGAGATGGATAACCTTGAAAAATAATTTGGACTAGACTCTTACCTATTTGATATATATGTTGCAAGGGTGACAAGTAGGCTTACTATTGAAATGCAACATCCTATGTACGTTAGAACTTCGTATGCTTGTTCAGAAGGCCCATCCTCTCTGGAAGTATCCTACAAAAGAATGAATTTATCACCAATGTTATTATCCAGCTCATTCAACACTCAACCAAAACATAGAGCTATATGAAAAACCAACATACAGGGCGTATCATAATAAAGGATATTGAAGTTTAATGACGATATATATGAAAACTACTGATTTCATAATCAAGCATTTTATGTCTGTTGTAAAGGACAGAATGTCCTCTTGTTAATGACACCCCGATCATACTACTACTGTCACAGTTGACTGAATAACAAAGCATTGCTGTCCACCATGTGGAAGGTGCACTGTGCCAAGTTTGATAACATTTCCTTCTTAATCCACTCATTGTTCAGCATTTCAAGATGTCTGGGCTGACACAAGCACTAATCTTTAGAATTTATCTGTGAATGCTAACTTGTCACAGTGCACCTTTCACATGGTGGACAGCAATGCTTTGTTATTCAGTCAACTGTGACAGTAGTAGTTTGATCGGGGTGTCATTAAAAAGAGGACATTCTGTCCTTTACAACAGACACAAAATGCTTGATTATGAAATCAGTAGTTTTCATATAAATCGTCATTAAACTTCAATATCGTTTATTATGATACGCCCTGTATATGTGTGAGTTCTAGGTTAGTTTAGATTGATGTCATTAATTTGTCGCCTTGGATGGACACACCCCATGTGAGAAGCCCCATCCCACTCCAACAAAAAATCTACTCCTGAAATTAAAAAACAAGAAAAGGAAGAGAACAAGGAAGATCATAAGCGAGAAAATACAAGAAACAAGAAAAATGCTCAAACTATCCACAAATGAAATCACTTCAATCAGACGCCACGTTCTCTCTTTTAAATAAACTTTATCTCTAAAATTAATGAAGAACTATAGAAATTTAAATGGACCGCGATTACATTGTGTGTTTACAAGGGCTTCAGTATAGAAAGACAATAGCGGGCACTTCCCACAAAATCCGAGGATCGTTGTTTAAATGGGGAAGTCTCTTCCTGGAAAGAAATATTCCTCGCAACAACATTAAAGATGAAAGTATTTCCAATGAGGGAGAGATAACGTGCAATCCCTCAGGATTCTCAGGCAACGTGCTCTGAAAAATAAAGATGAGAAAGATCTTACCATAAGGACGGCAAAGTTGGTAAGATGGTTACATCCACAAACGATCTCCTCCTTCTCATTGGAAGGAGGACCACAGTTATCATCATCAGGTGATCTAATTCCAGACGCCGAAATAAGATGACACCCTTCTTGGGACCAGCCTCGAAAGCCAACATCCCAGTATGAACACGACGGATTCGGTAGACCAGTCTTTTATTAAAGGGAATTAAAATATAAAATAAAGTGTTGATGACTATTAGTTGTTTTCATAGAAGTTCAACTATTGTTAAAAACACATAATGCATGCCCTTGTCTGATATATATACAAGAGAATCGCATACGATACAAATAATACATGTTTGAGAGCAGGCGCGGATCCACGGGGAAGGGAGCCGACGGGCCTGCCCCCTGCCCCCACCCCCACCCCCCCCCCCCAAAAAAAATAGTTTCTCACAAATTAGGCTGGCTGAGTAGGGCCTATTACCCCCCACCCCCCTCCCCCGCTTACTCAACGGCTGGCTGAGTCGCAACTAAATATTTTCTCACGGACTGGCTGCCCCCCCCCCCCCCCTCCTCTTGCCGCCGGCTGGATCCGCTACTGTTTGAGAGTGCATTGATGAATATGCACTGCACGCAGAGTCACAGTAGCCTAGAATAATAAACGGGACTTGTCAAGTTCTTTGTCCATCTCATTGTGACTTAACCAAGTGCAGTGCTTGTCACTATTGCACCAGCTAAAAACATATATTATTAGTTTTATAAGATGGGTCTACAATATGAGTATACTTTGAAAAAAGTAATTTCAATTATTTAAACATATTTGTGTGTTTTTTCTGACTTGTTTTTCAATCGATCTTATTTACAAATATGTTTAAATACAAATATGAGTATAAAGTCGAAAAATTGACGGTTGTTATCACGAAAATGTACTCCCCGTGCATATGGCAAACATTAATGCTCGCACACGCGATCAATTTTGACACTTCTTATTGGGTAAATTCTTGATCCCATTTTAAAATGTGAAAGAAAGATACGGCAATAATACTTGAAGATGAGAGAAAGCACATCTTTTTGTGCAGAAACTTCGAAAATGACATTCCTTAGGGCCTACCTCTATCGGGGTAAACGTAAAATTGATGGGTTCTGTCAGATTTGCTATCGTCTCGTTTCCGATGCTCAGTGATATTACAGGTGTGTTAGCAGATCGGTTGGTTCCTTCACTCGTGTTCTTCAATGATTTAGAAATGAAAAGGGCTGGTGAGGAAAAGACGCTGAAGATCACGCGAACATAGCCGCCAGAATTAGAACTTCCTCTAGATATCGACGGTAAAGCAAAAGAAATCGCAGATGGTATGTTGACAACAGCGATATTATTGGGTTGTGTAGCTTCAGCATGATCTCCTTTTGAAGTTTGGATGCTGGTGTCAGAATTGGTCAGATCAGATCTGTCTCCTGTTAACGAGAGGACTAGGCCTTTTAAGATGGCATTGGTAGATACACTTTTGACCTGAAAAGTTCAGAAAAAAATATAATTTGAAAACAGTCAAATATGAACGTTGCTTTTGCCATTAATACTAGAGTATATGCAGGATTTATAAAGCGCTAAATGCACTTAAAATTTAGATACTCAAGAGGCGAAGTATTCTAATCGGGAAATGAAGCTCATTTTGGCAAGTTTCACTGACAGATATTTTATTTTGAGCAGGAGTTTTAGTAGATATCAACTATATTCACAGTTATTTACATTCTTCTTGATGGAAATAATTGGTCTTTGCTGCTCTGCTAAGGGGAAAAGGGTCTGCTATAATCGGCGTTTTATTCGTCATAGAATATCAACATTTCTACGTACCTGCACGGCAATATTTGGTTGTTGAATGGTAAAATTTCCACCGGCCTCTACAGGTATGCTCTTGATCCGCTTCTCAAATACGCTGACGACTTTACTAACAGAGTCTGATGCTGATTCAAGTTGTGTTGAGTTAACCTGAGCAATGTTACTCACTATTGCAACAATGGATGCAGTAACCTGTTATTCGAAATCAAGTAAGCACCGTCACTTACATATTCTGAATGCAGTAGCGTATATTAGCTTGAAATTTTAAAAAAATAGGTGGGATTGAGGATAAAATTTGGACAGTCGGATTTGACAAGTTCTTTAATAAAATGGCAAATTCAAATCTTCACAGTGACAGGCCAATACACTGACTTTAATTTAGTAAGATAGCCAGATTAGCAAGTGAAAAGATTAAACAAAGTGAGTCGTAATTTACTGGACACGTTTCACAACAAATTGCATTAAAAAAAAGAGTCGAAATTACATGAAATATTTTTAGAAAGAGTTGTATTCGCGAGACTAAAATAATAAACTTACCTTTTCACTGTAGTTCGTTTGAGTAAATTGACCAATATTTGAAATTATAGTTGCAATCGAAGAAATGTCATCAGAGACGATATCATCGGTGTTACTTGTCAACACACTGACCTCCTCACTGAGCGTAGCAACATTCTCATCTGATACATTAACCTTTAAACAAACAATTTAAATACCAGTCCAATTGTGTTTGCTTTCATTATTCTATAGAGTCATTCAAACAAAATAAAAAGTATAGATGAACTTTCTTTTTACATCAGTCTTCTGTCTACAGGAGCGGGGGTGTCCACTTTTGTGGCAGGAGCCCTTTTTCATCTACAAATGTTGCTCACAATACAGACTAGGTAAAATCTGCCTCAAGTCAGAGAAGATATTAGCCTACCTGTTTTCATTTCTAAGTATAACAACTTAATATCACTGAATGTTCTGCTTTCATCTCTGTTTTATTCATTGGGCTGATTTTTTATTTAATTACTTTCGTAAAAATTTTATTCATTGTATTTGTTATTGTTCGAACTTTCTACTTTGAATTTGAGTTTTTATCTTTTTGAACGCAAAATAAAATCAATCAAACAAACAAACAAACGAATGTTATGTCGTTTCTAGGATTGTGTATAATCAGTAATAAACTTTAAAACCACATTGAAATTGGCTTGGTGAAAATCTAATTGCTTTCAATCGGTCCCGAATATTCCATAATGAGTGGTCTCGTGACTGTGTGGTGAGAATTCAAGAAAATAATCTTGAAAGGGTTGAAAAAGATATCTCAATATTTAAAATACCTCTGAAAATTGGCTCAGTAAATCGCTGACATTTCTGAATGGTCCACAGTTATCCATGGGACGCCATGTACTCTGTGAAATCAGATCACCGACGCATATGGCACGCCCGATTGGTTGGGTGGCTGTCAAACAAATTCACAAACATTTACTATTCCCCATATTATTATTGATTTAAATAAATATTTTGATCTTTTTTAATGGAAAGTGTCTTGATAAAATCATTTAAAAAATGATGACAAAAATCATATTTATTGGATAATACAAATATATAGCTTTTGAAAACTTAAATCGTCTAAAGTTCATATATATTAATGTAAATTTCTTCCGTCAAAATTTGTTGGGAATTCGTCTTCTAGAGTTTCCCGTTTGTTCATTTAAATTAACTAGACTCGGAATAACTATTTACAGTTGAATTTTATACAGAGAGGGATAGAGGCAGGCAGAACGTGCATGAGAAGTAATTTACCGTTCGTTGTGTTGAATGGACATACTTCAGTAGGTTCTGTTGAGTTCGCCCATGTTCCGTTCTCACCCTCTAGGAAATTGATTTTAGTCCAAAACGCGATGACGTCCATGTCATATTCTTACAGATCGCTGGGTTCCATAAATATAAGAAAAAAGCAAATATAAGGAGCAAGCACTAAAGGTATTAATACTGTGTTCGTTTTGGATGAAATAAGACAGTTTTGAGTTCTCATAATGGTCTGTTTATACAAACAATATCGTTAAGACACTAAACTTCCTGCAAAAATATATTTACTATTTTTAAATGCATGCCATCGTTCTTTTCCGAGCCACTATGGCAATTGTAAATGCAGACAACAATTGTGTGTAATCTTTAACAGTCGTTGTAAAATGACCATCTATTTTTTCGTAATTATTATGTAAGTAGAAGTCAATATTGACTTGACTTATCCTTACCCGTGTTCTCGATTTCTACACTGCTGACATCGAGAAAACCACTGGAATTTTCAGCCAATCGGTAAAGAACTTGACTAACAAGATCTAGTTCATGAAATGCAGTCAGAATGGAATTCTTGATGTAGACATTCAGGTCAGCAATCACAACTGCCTGCCGGGTGAGATTGTTGCATACCACTGATGGTGACATATCCTTGAAAGCGGCATCATTCTTAAGACCTTCAAGAACCTATAAAAAAACGAAATATATCATGGTGTATTAATACCATTTTGTTTTGATTTTTTTTTCTTCTTCTATTCCTCTTTTGACTATTAACATAAAAGGTACATAATGGATTGGATACAGGCGTTATGATTTTGGGAGATATAATGGTATTACTGCGAAAAGTTTAAAGCATTTTCAAATTATGTTCCAACCGTTGTAGGCTAATAAAGCTTAATAATTACAAACGTTGGATCAAAATATCAAAGGCCCTTTTATCTTTCAAACATTTAAATTTTTAATCACAGGGTAAACAATGTTCATTTTAGAGATTGAGACCAAAATAACCTGATTGTATTACGGCACATTTCAATATAAGTCTTTCTAAGCATGGATCCAATGTTTTGTCCTTGTCTTCAATCTTTCCAATAAATATATTTCTTAGTACTTACAAATTTCGTGATGTTGAGTGATATCTCGAGATAGCGGGCGGAAGTTTGTTCAGAGAGGACATCATTCGAAGTAAGATTGAATTTCAAATTAGAAAGTTGGATGTTGGTCACACCTGCATCAAAGAAACGTCAAATATTATGTTCGTATAATAATAATAATAACAGTATTTATGAAGCACAACATATCCATCTCTAGAGATGCTCAAGGCGTATACAAATATTTACATTTATATCAGGAATTCAACATACTAATAAGATTAAATGAATATCAAATGTTAAATTACATGTAAGTTCATCATGGCATCTTAATATAATTATATAGATCACTGTAGTTTCAGGAACATCTGTGTTACCTTTTGCGTATAATCTTTTCTTATTCCTTTTAAACGACTCTTTCAAGTTGAACTGCCTTGAGAAAATATACCATCTTTCAATACACATCGCATGAAAGATACACCAATTAGGTCTTCGGAAAAGAATATATGCACACTATATTGTGTTTTTCTGTTACAAAACCCTTAGTTGTATAACAAATTAAAATCGAGGCTATCTAACTGATATTAATTGGATTGGGGATGTAATATATGTTTTTCAGACCGCGGGGGATCTTTAGTTTTCCTCGTGAACATAACCACTTTGGAAAATATAACCCCAAAGCGGTCCAAATATTGTTATACCCTGCCGGTCAAATAGAAACAGGTTTCCGGTCCTGCAATATAGGGCATGCAGATTGATGGAAAGATAAGACAAAAACACGACATTCTTTAACCTCACCTTCAACGTAGATAGATGCCCTCTCCGTGTCTAAAAATCGTTCATTTCCAAAGCCTCGGCAGAAGTAATATCCAATATCACTTGTGGAAACGGATGGTATACGTAGAGTGACTTGATTTCTCTTGTTGGGTAGAGGTTGGCCATCTTTGTACCACGCGTAAGATTCAGCATTGTTAAAGCCGCATGTGAGCTGTACAGTGGTGCCCATATTCACCGTTTGGTTCTTAGGATGATTGGCTACTTCAACAGGAACTGTATTTAAAAAAAATTAGAATCATAGGAGTTAGAGGTGTCGTAGTAGAGTGAATTAAGCACTTGACTTGAACTTCAAAAGTCGTGGGTTCGATCGACAATATGGCATTTCTGTCTTTTGGCAAGGCATTAATATAAAAGTAAAACATAGCAGTGAGGGCATTAGTAAGAATTACCCCCCATAATGTACCTTGGGAACAGTTTAACACATCCCAGGCTATAGCCGAGGTTGTTTGGACTGTTTCGAAGGTACCGAGTGTAGAAGAAAAAATGATGAAATTGTTGTGTATCAATTGTTTTTAGCATATTTTTCATTAGCATTTACCAATGACCGGTCATTAGTTAAATAACGTGTTAAGCAAAGTAAATGCCTGGTCACGTGTACGCTCTCTACCAATCATTTGATTAGAATCCGCTCCATCATCTCATGATGTACATTTGCCACTCCATACCCAGGAGAGAAATGGTTAACTGGTAGGATGACGAAAGCGTTTGTGTTAGTCATTGTCGTAAATTATATCCTCACGGTGACTATTATGGGATATCGTATCAGGACAATTACCCCCTGGGCAATCACCCCCGGAAAATTACCCCCGGAAAACTACCCCCGTAGGACGATTACCCCTCGGAAAATTACCCCCCGGAGAATTACCCCCCGAGGACAATATACCCCCCAAGGACAATTACCCCACGGAAAATTACCCCCCAAGGACAATTACCCCCGAGGACAACTACCCCCCGGGACAATTACCCCCCGAGGACAACTACCCCCCAAGGACAACTACCCCCTGGGGATAATTACCCCCCCCCCCCCCGAGGACAACTACCCCCCGAGGACAGCTACCCCCGAGGACAATTACCCCCCGAGGACAACTACCCCCGAGGACAACTACCCCCGAGGACAATTACCCCCCATGGACACTACTGGGCCTGGTGGCTCAGTGGTTAGAGCGCCCGTCTCATGTACGGAAGGTCGTGGGTTCGAACCCCAGCCGAGTCATACCAAAGACTTATAACAACGGGACCTTCTGCCTTCTAGCTAGGCGCTCAGCATATTAGATTGGAGAAGGGTAGTAATAATTATGTTATGTTATGCAGGGCCCGCTGGAAGAGCAGTTTCATAACTGAAGTGGCTACCCTGGGTAAATAAAACGTTATTAATATTATTATTATTGTTATTACCCTCGCGGACAACAACCCCCGAGGACAAGTATAATATGTTTTCGTGTACGTTAAATTATTTTGAAATAGAAATTGCCTTCAAGTTATATGTACGGTGCCCTGTCAAAAGAAAATAGATATCCGCTCTCTGGTAATTCATCTCATTTGATTTTGTAACTCCAGCACAGCGTTTTTCAACCGGGGTGCCGCAAGAGAATGATTTGGAAAACGTCGATTTTGTAAAAAAAAAATAAAATACCAGAAACGGTTAAAATATGTAATTACAAGAGAAAATAAAATATGGAAGATACTAAAGTGTCTTCCTTCCTTGCTCGCTGACAATTTGTTGACAGCAAGGCAAATGAGGGCAACGAGAGGCCCGAATATCCTCATATTAGTGTATCAAGGTAATGACCGAATATATCACTTTTTGTATGTACATTCGGAGGCAGTGGCGTAATGAGCAAAAACGTTTGGGGGGGGGGGCTGACCAAAAAAATCCGCAGCACACCTCTCTAACATGCAGGCCCCGCCGAACGTTTCGCAAAGTGGGGTCTAGGGGCAAAGCCCCGGCGGGGGTCAAGGGGCGGAGCCCCCAAAGCTCAAGGGGTATGGGCATCAGTGGCGGATCCAGGAATCTCTTACCGGGGGGGACCAAATGGCACGGGGTTAAATATATGTAAAACGATGAAGCGACAGAACGAGGCTTTAGCGGCGAGGGAGCGGAGCGACCAAGCGGGGGTTGGTTTGGGAGTGGGTTCTGGCCCCCTCCCAGAGTAAGAAGCATTTGCAATTTTAGAACCAAATAAGATGCATTTTTAGGCACTTCCTGGAGTAATATGACGTAAAATTGCTTTCTCCTACCCCTTCCAAGAGTAGGGATCTTTTGCAATTTGAGAACCACATTTGGCGCATTAATGTCCACCGGCACTTCCTGGAAAAAACGAGGCCTTCTTATTGGTAAGAAGTTAGAGAAAAGTGATCTGTCACGTCTTAAAACGTTGTATATGCTTTGATGCCGCACAACGCACAAAGACGGTGGTCCGGTATTTCATCAGTAGTACTTGCAAAAAAATTCTCGAGTGTATAAACTGTGTCGTTATCAGGGGCGTCGCTAGATCTTTGTCAGTGGGGAGTGGGGAGGGTGTAGAGGCCACCGATTACAGACAAAAGGAGCAACCAATTACCGACAAATATATTGATGCCAATGTCCAAATGTCTATAAATTTAACCCTCTAAACCTGTGGCCAGGAACTAAGTTATTTTTCAGTCTCCCCCCTCCCGCGCGAAGCGCGAAAACTTTGACACTTCATTCAATTATTAGAGAAAGAAGACGATCCATTGTACCGTTCTCGACTCTTATTTCTTGTTAGGATCGAGTCCCCCCCCCCCCCCCCTCCCGCGCGAAGCAGTTTTGACGTTACAATAAATTATTACTCTTAATCCTTGTCTGAATTCATTCTCCCCCATCCCGCGCAAAGCGCGGAAGCTTTCACGTTTCATTAAATTATTAGAGAAAGAAGACGATTCGTTGTACCGGTTCCGGCTCTTAATCCTTGTCTGAATTCATTTTCGCCCATCTCGCGTGAAGCGCGGAAACTCTGACGTTTCATTAAATTATTACTCTTAATCCTTGTCGGAATTCATTTTCGCCCATCCCACGCGAAGCGCGGAAGCTTTCACGTTTCATTAAATTATTAGAGAAAGAAGACGATTCGTTGTACCGGTTCCGGCTCTTAATCCTTGTCTGAATTCATTTTCGCCCATCTCGCGTGAAGCGCGGAAACTCTGACGTTTCATTAAATTATTACTCTTAATCTTTGTCGGAATTCATTTTCGCCCATCCCACGCGAAGCGCGGAAGCTTTCACGTTTCATTAAATTATTAGAGAAAGAAGACGATTCATTGTACCGGTTCCGACTCTTAATCCTTGTCTCAATTCATTTTCGCCCATCTCGCGCAAAGCGCGGGAGCTTTGACACTTCATTAAATTATTAAAGAAGGAAAACGATTCGTTGTACCGTTCACTACTCTTAATCTTGTCTGAATTCAATTTTCCCACTGGGCCCCCTTAACGGTACATATGTGCAGTGTTACATGATGTAAGTATGGAACGCCCGGTAGTGCTTGTCACAGTTGCTTCTGGAAAGGATTTTTTTTACTAGTGTTACTGTTAGTGGCCACGGCCCCTTAGTGACTTAAAAAAACACATATGCTCTTCCTGGCCATTTGGGAATGTGTCAGTTTGCAAAAGAAATGTAGAAACGCACATTTTGTTGAAAATCATGTGATATCACGAACATTTATACATCACTTGTATATGCAATTGAAAATAAGTCATGGTTCTATTTTATTTGGAGGGGGGCTGGCGCCCCCAAGCCCCCCCCCCCCCACCAGTACGCCAGTGCGGCAAGGTGCCCGCATGCAGTACTTTAAATAGTTTCTAGTGTGTGGATTACAAACTATTTTTTACCAGTTTTATTCCTAAATGTGCCCATACGTGTGTGCATAGTACTTGACGAGAGCCAGAGTCATGCAAAATTAATAGTCTGTAAAGACTTTGGGATTTGGGAGAAACTTTTCATTTCTTAAGAGGGTACCGTGACTAACAAAAAGCTAAAATAACGCTGCTCCAGAGAAATGTAATTCTATGCATTTAGAAAAGTGCTGGACAATTACCTAAAACTTACATCCTTCGTGGAAATTAGCAACCGCGCTGGCGTTGCATAAATTATAATAAAAGGGAAATGTGTAGGAATGAGAAAGACAACGTGCTAGAGAATGTGTCAGATCGTCTTTTGCTATTGAATCCTGATTGTCCACGGGAGTAGTTGTCATCGGGGGTAATTGTCCTCGGGGGGTAATTATCATCGGGGGGTAGTTAACCTCGGGGGGGGGGGGTAATTGTCCACTGGGGGTAATTGTCCTAGGGGGGTAATTGTCCTAGGGGGTAATTGTCCTCGGGGGGTAGTTGTCCTCGGGGGGTAATTGTCCTGGGGGGGGTAATTGTCCTAGGGGGTAATTGTCCTCGGGGGGTAGTTGTCCTCGGGGGGTAATTGTCCTCGGGGGGGTAATTCTCCGGGGGGTAATTTTCCGGGGGGTAATTGTCCTTTGGGGGTAGTTTTCCGGGGGGTAATTTTCCGGGGGGTGATTGCCCAGGGGGTAGTTGTCCTAGAACCATGGGATATATATATATTCCCCAGAGAGTGGAGATGGTGCACAATGTGCGTGAATGAATTCGATGACCAGGGTAATAATACCCGTAAAGCGCTAAGAGAAGGTATTTCGTATTAAGCGGTTTATAAATCAAAATTATTATTATTACTATTATTATTATTATAATTATTATTAACATCATTATTATTGTCATAGGTAGAGCCTTGTGGCATTATAGAGCATAGCTTTTCCACAAAACAAAAAAAGTGGACAATTACGTCTTTCAAAATTTAGAACGACACAAGGTCAATTTTTATTGTCTTTTGTGGGCAGTGACTTTGGAAAAAATTACCTATTAATGTCAGAATAACAAGGTCTGGAAATAGGTTTGTTGAACAAATCATGAATGAAATATCAAAAATAATAATCTGCATATGTACTCAAATTATATTTTACATTATCAGTTTGTAAATTGTAAGACATTGTTAAGTATTCTTATTTTTTTTTAAGTATCGATTGTAGTCGGCAATTCATTATATTTGTTTTGTTACGTTTTCAAAACTGATTTGTACCAAAATACTTTGTTTAGCTGTTTAAAGGGTTAGGCCGACAAGCACATCTTGCCCCTTTTACCAACCAATGGTTTCTTTTCTTGTATTTGTAGACACACTGAGTGAAATGTATTACTGTATTTATGTTGGTAAATAAATCAAATAAATCAAGTACATGGCTATAAGGAGCCATCTAGAACTCATAGATAGTGAGGTTAAGTTTATCATCGCCCTTAGAACAGATTGAATGCATTCCCAAATCAATTCACTAATACGGGGTGTCTCCTCAGATAAAATAACTTGAAAATAATTATTAAGGCAAGTACCACAACTATTTAACAATGTAAATTAATGAACATCCATGCCGGGTAATCCTCGATTAAACCTAGAACGAAACAACCAATATGACTTATAAGTTATTGTTATTTACTGGCACTCACTATTTAACCTGCCACATCCGATAGGTAATCAGCCACTTACATGTACTAAAATTCAACGGCATTTAACAAATTAATCCAATTATATTTTTTACTTGATAGACACGATATTTGAAGGGAATAAATACTCACGTTTGGGTTCGGGGATGACATCACAATGATTGCCCTCGTATTCACCATGGCAGGCACATTGGTATGGTCCTGATCCTTCATAGCTACAATCACCATTGATACACGGATCACGAACCTTACAAGGGTCTGTAGATATTAAATCCAAAGAAAGGGAGAGAGAAGAAAAAAAAACATTAACGTTGTCATATAAAGCAGAAATGGGGGATGAGGGAGTGGGGAGCTACAGCCCCCCTCCCCCCACCCCTCCCCCATCCCCAAGAATCAAGAAACAACCAAGATTCGGTCAAACACCAGCTCCCCATTGGGTAGCGGTAAGCAATAAGGAAATCACATAGGCTGTAAAGGGTAAAAAATCCATAACAAGCCACTAAATGACAAAAAAGAAGATACTGGTATTCATAGCTGATGCTAACTTCTGGAACTGTCTCCATCTTTCGCCATGAAGATATTGGTTAGGTAAGAACGAACATTTCACAAATGTCAAATTGGTTTATTAACATGATGATAGCGCCTATTATCATGATTATTTGTTGGTTAATTTGCGCTAAATTTACTGTATGTATACGCATGAGGTAATAGTAATAATACAAATATCAATTGAAATATTAATGATAGCATAAGTAGATATCCATGTACAGATAAATGTACAAAGCCTGGTCGCAAAGGTATACTTACTTTGTACAGTAAACAGAAAAGTACAGTTGGCAATATTTCCAGAATAATCTTTAGCTTCACATGTGATGCTAGTGTCTCCAAGATTAGAGAGAACTATTGATGTGTGAAAGCAGTTAACGGACGGATCGGGATCTAAGTTGTCTGACACAGATGGGATGGAAGCGTTGATAGCAATTTTGCGTTGATCCGCGATGGCTGTTTGGTCATAGCATTCCAATCTAGGAGGCTCCGTGTCTGCAAAAAAACAAGACAAACTACAACATTAGGAGTTATAGTGTACGTAGCATCTTAAAGGCCCACTGCCATACTTGTAGCTACTTGCGCCCTCTATATAACAAACAATGCCTAATCGGTGACCATTAGTCCCCCATGATCCTCTTTTTCTTATGTTAACTGAGAGCTGATTTGATGAGATAACCACCTGTCCAGTGACCTTGTAGGGCGGTCTAATCCCTCCTGTAAACTATGGCAGATAAGCTTTAAGTAAATCTTTGATCAATATGAAGTTCAACTGCCTTGTTTTGCTTGTTTACCTGAACGAACACACAGGATTAAAGTCGTATCATACCTTGCACTGTAACCACGAACGTACAGGTGCCAATGTTTCCTGATTCATCAGTAGCATTACAGGTAACATTGGTATCTCCAAACTGGAAGCCACCACTGGATGTATGAGAGCAGATCACAGACGGACGAAGATCAGTATTGTCTGATGCCGGTGGGTTGATGATGATGTGGTCCCTGGTGATATTTAAATCAGGGCAGTCCAAAATGGGAGGGTCGCCATCTTGAAATATTGATTTTGGGATAACCAAACATAAAGTGAGTGGTGGCCTAATACATGGTTTACAAAATAATGTAATGTAACGGTGAAAAATAACCACAAGAAAATGGTCATGTTTAATGTATTTTAATTTGAAAGTAAAACGACCCCTGCCACATATCCTCTTACACTATGGCCGTGTGTTCTTGCATCACTTAATTACCGGTGTAGTACCCTCCCCGTACCATAATACTTGTGGCTCCTCTCAATGGCTGAACCATCCAACACCACTGAAATGGAGAACTTGGGGGGGGGGGGGGCTGGCAATATAGTGTTACTATAATGGATCTTACACTTTCTTGACTAATTACAGACCCAAACATTGCAAACCAAAAAAACAACAATAGAATTAATAAAACGATTATGGGTTATAAAGTTAAATACATTCAACAACATATTTTGCAAATAAAAATATAAATTAACTGAACTGTAAACTTGCAGCACTGGCAACTACGATTCAGGAATTGTCATGCACATGCAACGGAGTTCGGGCATTGGGAAGTATACTAGATTTTCTTGTTATAACAAAGTTTAACTACAATATTCTTCAATTCCTGAAATACTCTATTAAAACACGAGTGTCAACTGAATTGCTGAAATTATTTATGATAATATTGTTATTATTCTTCCGTTTTGATACGTACCTTTGACGTTGACCGTGAAATCGCATGTCTTGTATTTTCCCAGATCATCTCGTGCAGCACAGGCAACCCAAGTGACTCCGTAGTCAAATACATCGTCCGAAGTATACGTACAACCCACAGAGACGTTATGATTGTCAACGGAACCATTCACGCGTGGGGTGATGATGACAGAAGATGATGTAGTGAGACCTTCATCCGTGGTAGAAGTTAGGTTTCCACATTGTAGCTTGAATGTTCCTTCATCTTCATATTCAATTTAAGATTAAAACATTTAAATTACAGTATACTGATTAGTTTAACCTTCCGATAACAGATGTTATGAGCCCTATTCATACTAAACACACACTAAGATTCTGAAAGAAGAACAATTGCTATTCCTTAAGAAAGCAGTATGTGTGTCTCCTGTATCAGTTGGCAAATATGACCTCTCCCCTTCCCCCTGCCCCAACGTCATGTTTGTGCTGCAATATTTGATATATATATATATATGTATGTGTGTGTGTGTGTGTGTGTATATACATCACACGTGTATGGCTCAACGGGACAGGTACCTCTGTATATTTCCGATTCTTACTGTTGATTTTCATGAAATCAAAGCTCTTTGTCGTCAATTTGTTAAAAGGTAAGGCATTGAGCGGGTATCTAGCTAACAGCTACGTGATTTTTTTTTTTTTTTTAATACTTACCATCCTCGAAATATGTCCCGCTTCCAGAAAAGCCTGTTCAAATAACAATTTAAGAGAAGTGTTAAATATAGGTAACACAAATCCTAATAGGTGAAGCAAACCAAAACAAATATTAGACTATGATTCGAAAAGTGTATATATATATATATATATATATATTATTATTCTCGAAAGCAGTATGCATGCCTTATGTATATGATGGTAAATTTGACTCCCCCCCCCCCCACCCCCCCCCCCCCCCCTCGCCGTTGTTGTTTCTGGAATCTTTGACATGAAACAAGTATCCATGCAGATTTCTGCTTGACACTGTTGATTGTCATGCAATCAGAGCTCTTTTATCATCAAGTTGTTAAAGGTTAGGATCTTGAGCGGGCATCTCGCCATCAGCTATTCGATTCTCTTTGTTTCTATTTACTTACCATCCCCGGACGATGCTCCGCTTCCAGAAAAACCTGTTCAAATTACAATGAAAGAGAACTGCTGAAATATATGTAACAAAAACTTAAATAGGTGAACCAAGCCAAAACAAACATCAGACTATGGTTCGAATAAAAAAAAATATATAGTGTTATTGCTAAATATATTACTCTTTTTTTGTTGTTGTAGTATTGTTTTATTGTATTCATTCAGTACAAAATATATAACAAACAAACATACAGCTTCATTGATTTACATATATCAAAATATAAAGAAAATTGTACATCTCTCAAAAAATACATAAGATAGTTTAATACACAGTACATAATGTTTACATTTAATTATACTGAACGAATATTATAAATCAAAGAGTTACCTACAGACAGACAGACACACCACACACGCTCACAAACTCAGACACACATACAAACTGACACATCCCCCTCCCCCCTTCATTCCAAAGCTCAACAAATCCCCCCTCCCTTCCCGAGCATTCACATCTACATATTTGTTGGAAATTCTGTCTCTTCCTTTTCCTTAAGACCAAATCATATGTTTAAAAAAATGTCTGGGTCTGAGAAAGAAGTATTTGCCTCGCCGTCCTTAACTGTGGAAGTTGTCCCATTGACGAAGCTGTTCATGATGACCATGGCCCGACTGGAGATGCCAGTGTAGTATCGATATAGTGTTATTTTGTCAGAAAGCAGTATGCGTGCCTAATGTATCAGTTGGCAAATGTGATTCCTCCCCCCCCCCCTTTTGAATCTTCGATATGTATTTATGATACTATTATGGCTCAACTTAAGTCTATCCTAGAACACAGATTCCTGCTTATCACTGTTGATTATCATGAAATCAAAGCTTTTATCATCAATTTGTTAAAAGATAAAATGTTGAGCAGGCATCTAGCTAACAGCAATTCAATTCTCTTATTTTCTTTTTACTTACCATTCCAGGATGATGCCCAGCTCACTGAATCATCTGTTCAAATTACAATGAAAGAGAACTGCTGAAATATATTTAACCAAAATCTAAATACGTGTATCAAGCCAAAACAAACATCAATCTATGATTCGAATATAGATATATTGTTATTCTTTAAGAAAGCAGATTGTGTGCCTGCTGTATCACCTACCAAGGAGACTTCGTACCGCCCCCCCCCCCCCATTTTTTCTGGAATCTGTTATGTTCATGTATCATAGTCTTATGGCTCAACCTGGCAAGTCTTTCCTAGAACACAGATGTTTGCTTATCACTGTTGATTGTCATGAAATCAAGGCTCTTTTATCAATTTATAAAATGGAAAATGTTGGTAAAAGGTAAAATGTTGAGCAGGCATCTAGTTATCAGCTATTCGATTCTCTTTGTTTTTTTTACCATCCCAGGACGATGCCGAGCTTACAGAATCATCTTTTCAAAATGTCAATGAAAGAGAAGTGTTAAAGGTAACACAAAGTTTTGGGAAATTTTGAAAATTGGGTGGATAGTGAATCTTTACAATTTTGATATATTTGGATGCCCCTGTAGATGAATTATAAGCACTAAAAAAATTAACTCCTAAAACATTTCTGTTTTCGAGAAGAATTGAATGTAAAAATTTACCGGTGCTCCCGGTAAATTTTGATAAATTTCAAATAGCGCCTACGGCCGTACAATGGTAGCTGCGACCATGAAAATCTCAGAAAATGTAGTTATGATATATAATTTCCAAACGGGAATAGCTAATCAGTCGATTCTAGTCAAGAAACATTGTTTCATAGCTAAATTGATATCTTGACCTTGAGAGGGAGCCATACAACATAAAGAGTTTATTACTTATAATTGTATAATTTTAGACTCGATTTCAACCGGGACAACGATCAATGAATATTGTAGGAACGCATATGCTTCCAATATGTTAATTTGAACCAAATTCATGACCCCACACCAAAACTTTGTAATACCTTTAAGATATATGTAACAAAAACCTAAATAGGTGAACCAAACAAATATTAACATCAACAAACAAACAAATATGTCCTACATCGTTTTAAAATCTTCTTCAGGTATCTATATAATATTATAGTCACATGATTAACAAAAATTAAAACAAAAATAGCAGGGCACGGTTGGATATTGCTGTATTTAAAGACTATCATATTCCTTTCAAATTATACCTGGGATAAGAACCAAGCAGACAGCACCGGCATCTTCGTCATGAGCACAGTCAAAACGTTCAGGTCTATCGTGGAAACATTTTCCCAGATTGCTTTCTGTCCCAATACAATCCACATTACGGAGTGAGATGTCTCCTACCCCTTCACCGTATGTAGCTTGCACAGGTGCATATGCTGCCCCGAAGAACCCCAGCCATTTGCATACAACATTAGCGTCTCTACCATCCCAGCCATCGTCACAGATAGTTCCCCAAGATCCTTCTTCGAACACCTCAACTCTTCCCGAGTTGTTATTTGGACCATCGGTGAGGCGGACTTCAAGATCAATATGTTCTGAGATACAATGATATATCATGAATTCATGTTTGAGTATGGAATACAAGGATATCAGACGAGAAACGATACTAAGATATAGTAAGAGAGAGAGAGAGAGAGAGAGAGAGAAAGGAAAGGTTGAAGAGAGGGATATAGAGGAGACATAGTAGAAGAAAAAAAACAAGACTTGCGTATTAAGAATTTTCGAATTTCACAAACAGGGATACATCATACCTGTACAGATGACACCAGCATCTTCGCTGTGATCACAATTACTGACTCCAAATTCACTCTTGATGCAGTTTTCGAGGCTGCTTTCTGATCCAGTACAATCAACTTCATCAAGATGAATCTCTCCAGAACCCGCACCAAAGAAAGCCATGACTGGTGCACTAGACGCTTTGAAGAACCCTAGCATTCTGCATACGACATGGGCGTCATTCAAATCCCATCCATCATCACATACTGTTCCCCAAGCACTGCTGGCGTTGTACCGTACCTCGACCGTACCTTCAGCGTTGTTTGGTTCATTAACCAAATGAACTTCAAGCTGGCTCCCTACAACATGAGTAAGGGAGAACATTTTAATACAGGTTCTTCTTTTGTGTGTGCTTAATTCAAGTCCTTGACTACGGTTGACAAGCTCTGTCTTGTCTTGTAGGGTTATTTTCCAAAATGTTAATTTAAAAAGAAAATCATTACCATAACGGCAGTCTCTGCTTCCAAGCTAGGATTACAACCCGACATACACCACAGTCCTATCTCTGATCGTCTTTGTGCCCCCGTTCCGTCAACTAGTATTAACATTACAGATTCATTGCTAGGTTGATGTTAACATGATAACATTGTCTGTAAATATATGTGTGCAGGGGAATGGAGGCTAAAAACATGAGGATGAAGGGGTAATGTAGACAAATATAAATATATACGGTGATTCTAAATGATGTAAAAGAGAAAGTCTCTGAAATACATATTGACATTGATAAGAAATGGGTAGGGTTATAATTAATTATAATTGTTTAATCAAAAATGAAAAGTTCTCACCAGTGTTTGTTGTACTCGGGCTCCAAACTTCAGGTCGGCTAGTTGGCCTACCTATAGGCGAAAACATTGAAGTGCTAAACAACAGTCGTAAAGTCTGGCTAAGTGTATCAGTATGTGATGTGGCATGAATTATTAATCAAAAATGAGAATAAACCTGGTAAGATTGTATGAATAGGGCGCTATTTCATTGTAAACCCCTTGGGCTATACCACACTGTCTCTTGATATGTGTAAAGGTAGAGAAGATGTGCTAATAATAGAACTACCATTACAAGTTATAAGCATTTAACGTATGCTTACCTATGTCACCTGAGGTCCATGTGTCAGAGTCATCTGGTTCTGAATCTATATTTGATACACCGTTGATATGAGAGAGAAGAATGATGGACAATATTAATCGAAACGAGACTATTTCCCAATTCGCCATTGTTAGATCCTGAAGAGAGATGGAGGATATGATGTATGCTGTGATCCAGCTTGGAGCAATGTGTCATGTTCAGGGTCGAAGGGTTATTCCACCTGATCATGTGACACACAAGGAAACATGACAGCATACTTCCTGCATCATAATAACGAGTTACTCGTTGATTTGTAGTAGGAGGGTCATCGAGTGAGGAAGAGGATTAAAATAATAATGTTGATACTTCTCATCATGAACATGGTTGTGGGATTCAAACTTTCACAAATTCAATCCTCTTTTCATCGTTTCATTATAATTTTTACTAACTGATTTTTAGTAAGGAGCAGCAAATTTAAAGTTTGTTTTCTTGTTAGCAGTTGCTATCTGAGACTAGCAAAATATTACATCCCTATTCGAACTTTAAGAAAGGCTTGTGTTCTTGAACGCGACGGTTTTTCGGATTGGTAAATCTCTTCTTCGAAAGGTTTTTTTTTTCATCATCAAACTTTTGCTTGGTATTTCCCCACCATTTTAGAAAGAGAGCGGGGGAAATCCCCCCTTTTTTTGGGGGGGGGGGGGTTGCGCTCAAACAACTTTTGTGATATTTTCCTCAACATCTGCTCAAGGCAATTTGAGACTGATGCTGTTACAAAAGTCAATAATTCTATTGTATACTTTCAGAAAGTATAATCTGCCAGCTTGCATGCCTTATATAGTATTGTATGTAATATTGTATGTAAGTCAATGTTATGTTTATAATATATAAAAGTTGATTTGGGAGCAACATGTGAGGGCTCACATGCCTCCGGGTAATAGTGTTGAATTTCACTTTTGTGAGCCCTGGCCTACACGTTGCTCCCTCCCTTTTCCTCTTGTATTGTTTATGTATTGCATGATCTGTCAAAATGTATTTGTATTGTGCTTTTATGATTGGCCTAATAAATAATAATAATAACAACAATATAGCAAGAATTCCAGCAGTAGCATTTCAACCTTTTACATAGAGTGAAAGTGATGCTCGTTGTTCGTATTCTATCAATATTTATCAAGTGGAATTTTTGGAAAGTGCTGGCAATAGGTATTATTACAAAAAGCATTTTCTAGGTCTCTATTTGTTTCTTTGGATGCTTAACTAGCGTTGACCTGAATCGACATTTTGGCTAACAAAAGCCCCACACGCGAGCACCCGATTACCATTATATCAAATATGATTGAATCTGGGTCTTACCCTATTTAGTATATCCTCTGATACCAACAAACAAATACATAAAACACAACATGAACCAATAATTATGGTTTTCGATTTTTGTATGACATGGCCTGCTAAGACATGTATACTAATCAATGATCAACGAGCTATATGTCGATGTTTTAGAGAATTAGACAAAGCAATAGGTGGTTAATAATGGTGGGTAGAATTAACAGAAACGAACGACCTGTCACTGTAGCTTCACATGTCACCCCAGCGTCCTCGGAATGAGTGCAGTCATGTTCTCCAAATCTGCTCGTGATGCAGTCTCCAAGCCTTTCTTCTGATCCAGTACATTCAACCTCATCAAGAAAAATCTTTCCAGAACCCGCACCACATGCAGCCATGACTGGTGCACTTGACGCTTTGGTAAACCCTAGCATTCTGCATACGACATGGGCGTCGTTCAAATCCCATCCATCATCACATACTGTCCCCCAAGTATCGTTGTACAATACCTCGACTCGACCTGTAGCATTGCTCGATCCATTCAAGCGAACTTTAAGCTGGTCACCTACAACAGGAGTAACGGAGGGCATTTCATTTAAATACAGGTTATTCTTTTGTGTGTGCTTAAGTCAAGTGTTTGACTACGGTCGACAAGCTCTGTCATGTCTTGTTAGGTTTTTTTTTTTTAATAAGTTAGGTTAGGTTATTTCCAGAAATGTGGATTTAAAAAGAAATCATTATTATTGCCTCAACAAATCTGATATCGGCCGTCTCTGTTTATTCTATTAATTTGTGTAGCTGTTTCATATTTTCTTATTTCTTATTCCAAGCTAGCATTACCATCTAGACATACACCCCAGTCCTATCTCTTATCATCTTTATGCCCCGTTCCGTCAACTAGATTACAGATCTAATTTCCCAGGCTGATGTTGACAGGATAACATTGGCTATACACATATCACGACCGCTTGTAAAAGATGTCCGCAGGGGAGTGACGGCTAATAATATGACGATAATAATAATAATAATAATAAATTGTTTCTTTTTATAGCGCTATATCAAATTTACAACTGATCAAAGCGCTATACAAAACAAATACATCAATGAATTAAAACTCAAACAAAAATATGATAAAAAATGTAATGCAGTTAATTACAATGTAAATAGGTGTGTTTTGACATGTTTCTTAAATATATATACAGAGATAAATAATTATTTAAAAGAAAAAGACTGTGACATACATATTAACATTTATACCAAATAGGTAGAATTATAGTTTACTAAAAAAAAAAGAGCTAATCAAATAGGAAAAGTTCTCACCAATTCTTGCTTTCGGGATCCAAATGTGAGGTTGGAAAGCTGGCGAATCTATAGTTTAAAAAAAAAAAAAAAAAGCGGAATGTTAAACAACAGTCGTAGATTATTTAAACATATTTGTGGCTTACACACCCAGTATATTATATAAAAAAAAACAGTCGTCGAGTCTTACTAAGTTTATCGATTCGTGTTTTGGCATAAGTTTTTAAAAAAAAACTAAAATAAACCCGATTTGATTATATGAACATAAAAGATTCCACAGGGGGGGGGGGTATTTCATTGTAAACCCCATGGGACGTAAGGCATTGTCTCTTGGCATTTGTAGAAGTAGAGGAGGTATGTTAACAATAGAACTACCATTAAAACTAACAACGTCTGCTCAAGGAATTTTGAGATTGATACTGTTACAGTAATAAACAATCCTATTGTAAACTGTCAAACAATATCAGTTGCCAGCTCGCTTGGGCAAGAGTCCCATCAGTAGCATTTTAACATTTTACATTATTACTTATTCTACCCATCCCCATCTAGTGGAATGTTTGGAAGCTGTGAGAAAAACGTAATAACAAATGCGTTTGCTAGGTATATATTTGTTTATAGAGATATTTTATCGTTGTTGGCCTTAATCGAATATCATATTAATTTCATATCAAATATTATTGAACTAAGGTTTATTACTGAGTATTCAGCATAGTTTTTCGCATCAATAAAACAAACAACGACCTAAAAACACAACATAATCATATTATAAACAACTTTAGATTTTTGAATGAAATGTCCTGCTTAGACATATCTAGTAAACAATGGTCAATGAGCTATATGTCGATGTTTTAGAGAATTAGACAATGTAGTAGTTGGTTAATAACGATAGGTGGAATTAAAAGAATGAAACGAACGGTCACTCTACCTCCACAGGTCACCCCAGCATCTTCGCTGTGATTACAATCATTGTCTTCAAATTTATTCTTGATGCAGTCTTCGAGGCTGCTTTCTGATCCAGTACATTCAACTTCATCAAGATGAATCTTTCCAGAACCCGCACCATATGCAGCACTGACTGGTGCACTAGATGCGTTGAAGAACCCAAGCATTCTGCATACGACATGGGCGTCGTTCAAATCCCATCCATCATCACATACTGTTCCCCAAGTACTGTTGTACCATACCTCAACTCGACCTGAAGCATTGCTGCTTGATCCATTTATCAAGCGAACTGCAAGAGAATCTGCTCCTAAATGTGAGTAAAATACAGCATAATTATGCTAGATCATACTACTATACTCTATGAAAACACGGCGAGTTAACTATCGACGATATTACGAATAGCAATGTTTTAATTGATGACACTTTAAAAAGAAAAACAATCTTTTGTCCGTCAATTCAATCGACATAATTCCTCATAAAAAGGTATATTTACAGAAAAGCGACCTTCATACCAATAAAACAAACTAAATACAGAATAACTATAATAAGGGGTCGAAAAAAATAATCAAATAAACGTATCCTACGTTGACCCATAATCTTGCATAAAATAATCATACAAACTAAATAAATAAACATGAGACAAAAGGTGTATAACACTAATCGTAATTTTTGGGAAATCAATGTACAAAATATACGTCGTTTCATTTTTTACCTTTAGTGCGCATTGAGCAATTGATTTCAATTAGCGCCTTACATTAAAGAATAAAAAATCGTTATTATTAATATCATTATCATTGTTAACAACTTTAAAAACACTGCTTTATTATTAATAGATGATTATATATAAATACTTAACCAACTTAGATGAAGACGTTCTGTAGTTGTAAGAAGTACATACGAACTACGCTTTTGTAATGACCCCCTCATTTTCACAAGTCAAATAGTCTTAACTTAAAAGATGTTCGAACTGTGGAGTTTTTCAAACATCAATAATGTGTCTAAATGTATCAAAACATGTACCTAAATGTAACTAAATTATTGCATTTTCGTTTCCAGATATAATATCGTTCATTTTGCTATATTGTTCGTTTTTTGTTTACATTTGAGCATATAAAATATAAAAATTGAATTTATGTCAATTAAATTACATGATTATATCAACATCACAATCATCATCATTAGTAGTAACTTAACAACCATGACAGACACCTTTACATAGCATATTTAAACGGAAGAGTGTGACAGGCTTACGAGACACATAAAATATAAAGGCACTCACCATTGGTGCTATACTGTATATCTGTACTCAAAATTGTTGAAGCCTCAGTGGTGATGTCTGCGCATTGGTAACAAGAATAAAAAGGATGGATAAATATAAGCATGTCAAAGAGAATCCAATTGCAGAGAGCAATTTGACAATTTTGTAATGATGGATTGTCTTTTACTGGATCAACGATCATTGTTAGCCATAAGGCCTTAAACAAAGGATGTTTTATTGCCCTTTGCGACCAACCCCTAAATCTTGAAATCTACGTTCGGCTTTTTGAAGAAGAAAAAATAACCCTTTTTTAGAGAAAAATATTAAATCATTCAAAACTGTAAAAAATATCAGCCAAAAGAGGAGGAAGAAGAAGGAGAAAATAAAGGTTTCCGACCGACCGACCGACCGACCGACCCATGTTTTGGCACGTAAATGGCAATACAACATCTTTTTTTTTTGTTTAGGCCTAACTCATATGCATATCAAAGCTTATAGAGTCAACTGAAATATCCCGTAAGAAAATTATGTACTTATAATTTTAAAAAGAATGAAAGATTGATGAGTGAATCGTTGTAAGCCTCTTTACTCTGAGGAGGCGAGTTGGCTTAGTCGGTATAGCCTGCCTGCCTGTCGAACCAAAGATCGTGGGTACCCGGTAGGATGCGACCGTCACTGTTGGTCAAACAGTTTTTGAGCGTCAAGTAACACCTGGCTGGAATGGTCCCCAGGGAGTGGAGATTGTGCACACAGTGTGTGCGGGCAAGCACTTTAACAATGACCGGGGTAATAGTATATTTGTAAAAAAAGACTTAGAGATATCTGTTTAAAACGCCATATAAAAGCTAAATATTATTATTATCATCCAACCCATGGCCCCAGGCAGATGGACGTTAAATGGAGGCGCTGTGTAGAGGAGAGTCACCAGCTTTACACGTTTAAGGTAAAGACAATTGGAACGCCCCAATTTCAACAAATGAAATGGAGCTCTTATTTAATAAGAGCTCCATTTGGTAATACCAATCATGTGAAAAAATATGTTTTGACTAATACATGATGATAACAAATCTGCCGGGAAACCGCCTACTAATTGATATATTTGGTAAATTAGTTTATCTATTGGTGTGTGAGGGATAAACGCAAGTGTAGCGCACCTGTGCGTAGTCCCATATACATCTTTCTGTGAACAGTGCTTGTAACTTTACGAAGACTGGGCTAAATTTCTTATCAATTTGATGATTCCAGAACCTTGCAGTACACACCAATACTTATATGCTAGATGATCAACCTTTTCTGATCGATTCCACAACGTTTCTTTCACAATGCAATCGCATGACCATAACTGGTCTTTATCTTTAAGAACCCACTGCACTGTTCATATAATAGTAGGGGGAAACCCCGGTGTAGTGGTCCACCTGCACATCCCCAATCAGTCATGTCAGGAAATGAGACCCGATGGTTAACAGTGACTCAGTTCGCTCTTTGCCTCCCAGGCACAGGTGACGCAAAATACGTAATAATAACAGAATACTCACCAACTGATACACCATGGACTACGGGTGAACGTATCTCCATCAGTAGGACAAGAATCGGTAGCAACAACGGGAGACGATTCATTTTAGAATACTGCTATGGGCCCTGAAATGAAAGTGGTTTTTTGTTGTTAATGACCAGGATAATCAATACATGTATAGATAACATGGAAATACCCCTCGTCCCGTTAAATCTAAGATAGTCGGCAGGGCATTGAAACAGATGTAATAACACTTTAAACGGTTCTAGCAAGTATTTCCTTAATGATATGAAATAGAACCAACTGATCATTCTCCTTCTCTGTCGTCTTCTTTCTTCTACTTATTTTAAGTTGAAAGTCATTTGGAATATTTTGTTATGTGCAAAAAGTTATTAAAAAATATATACAGAAGGTCAGTGATAATAAATTATACTTCAAGTCAAACTTCACATACATCCTGACAGGTTCACAGTATTCATCTACATTGGATAGGCTTGTCAATGATTGCGTGGAAAACTAAGAAACAAAAACTCAAATAAGTAGTACTCAAATCTTTTGGATGCAAAATCCAGCATTAGATATTACAAAAAATATAATGAAAGTACTTACCCCTTGTCATAAATCTGGTGTTCTTCAACGATTAAATGAAATATATTGGTAGGGACTGCTTCTTTACAAAAATTCTGTAACAATGAACTAGTTGTATTTTATCATAGTATTATAACATCTCTATTACATGATATCGGAGTGTGCCGTTCGTGACTACTCTGTTGCTTCCTTGATGGATGTATTAGCAGGCGTTGAGCCAATAAAATCACATTCTAAAAGTAATTACATTTTAAAGGAAGTACATAGACTTTTTCATGTTCATAGTTTTGCTTTTGACGTGTCTGAAAAAATAGATTCATTAAATAAAAAAAATATTGATTCATTAATTACCACACTGATTTCTTGCACATGGTAGTAAGAGCTATCAATGGTTGACTTTCTATTGATTATGTGGATAACAGGAATAAATCATGGTTGTTTAATTCGTTGTTGTGTTTTCCTCTTTTGGGGGGAAGGCAAAATGTTGGTGTCCGGACAAGAATTGAACATCTTCCCTTCCCTTAAACAAATTTCGTAAATGAGCTGCATAAACAGTGCGTCCTAGAAAACAACGAAACACGAAACTAAACGGATATCGTATACAAACTTAGAGCTGTGTGAATATGATATCATGTTTTTCATAAAGTAGAGGTAATATGATTTTTAATGATACATTGATGACTTCAATCCATACACGGCTTCACTGAGTAACACTCCTTTGAAAACGGTACGTACAAAATCAATTACTGCCAGATTTGAATGACACATGGTTGTATCACACCCGAATATGACAGCACGTGACCTAAATGAAAAACTGAACTTCAAAAGCTAACAGAGAGTCCGGTGATATTTCAGACAAGAATCAGAGTAAGGGGCATCTTACAGTTTGATGATGGAGAAAAGTATGGTCAAATGGATATATAAGAAACAGAAAAAGTACACAACACAAATCTTGCGCAATCATCTGCCAAAGCTTACATTTCCTCAAAGTGAGGTTCTCATGCGATACAAACGTTTTTATTGTGTTACAAAAACCTGGCACAAATGGATGTTAAAATTCTAGTTTTTAAATAATGTTAAGCATGTATGAATTAATGCAACGAAAGTATTATTTCACAGCATATTATTTTTAATTTATGGAAAGTAAGAAATAGTTTTCTCATAATTACTGTTTTCTTTCGGGTTTCATTTCATTTTGGGACGGTCTATCTCCAAATTTTGAAGAAAAGGATTTCAGATATCGTCCACAACAGGATCATGAATTATTTTGAAGGATCGTTTTGTATGGTACAATAGAATGTGCATAAAAGACTGCAACCAAGTATTTATGTCAGATTCTTCAATGTTGAAGAAGTATCGACTCGCACTACCATGACTACATGGCGTACGCAGGATTTTTTCAAGGGGGGGGGGGGGGGGGGGGGGGGGGGGGGGGGTGGTAAGAGGACACTTTTTTTTTTTTTTTTTTTTTTGGTCTCGAAATTTGAAAAATTGACATTTTGTTCCGTTGGGGGGGGGGTAAGGTCACCTTTTTTAGGTCAGCCATTGGCATAATTTTTTTTTGTTTTTTGTTTTGTTTTTTTATTTAAAAAAAAAAAAATCTAAAGGAAGGGGGGGTTCCCAAAAACATACACATACAAAAAAACTCAAGGGGGGGGGGTTTAACCCCACAACCCCCCCCCCCCCCCCTCCTGCGTACGCGCCTGACTACAAGTAACAAAAATAAAATGAGGCCAAACACCTGCTTCATATGCGTTAATGTAGAAGCAGGTTTTACCAAATATCCTCCACATAATTATGGTTCAAGTACAAGTATATGTAATTTGACAAAACTAGCCAAGCCAAATCTATGCGTTTCATGACAATCTTAAAGGCACACTGTCCTACTTGTAGCTACTTGCTCCCTCTATATAGAAAACTTCCCAAATTGGTGCCTGTTGGTCCCCCATGATCCTCTTTTTCTTATGTTAAATGAGAGCTGAGTTAATGAGATAGCCACCTGTCACAGTGACCTCGTTGGCTCGCTGTGTGATCTAATCCCTTCTAGCTGTAGTAGTAACGCCTACCTTTAAAACCAATCTTTGATTTAACTTTAAATGCCGATACCACTCTCCTTTAAATCACTGTCTTCTCTTATAATAAGAACATATCAAGTACTTCTTATTTGCACTTTGGAATTCGTGTCTTTTTTAAAAACATCTTCTTCATAAAATGGTGCTGATTCCTCCTGTTCTCAATTACATAGGAGAAGATTTCAGATTTCAAATAGAAAGGAAACCGGATATGAAGACGGAATGTTCTACTATATTCAGGATAAATGTCATCAAGTATAGTAAGTATAGTGTTGTTGTGTACTTTGTACAACGATTCGATGACTCAATCTTTAAACCGAAAGCACGAGGAACGACTTTCTATTATCATTTATTCCACCTTATGCACGTTCTCATGAAGGCCAATCGTTAACGCTGTAATATGACAGGAAACAACATTGACATCATAAAAATACTGAATTCAGAAACCTGAGAAAGCACATATTTGTTGTCGTTATTTATTTATTAATGGTATAATACAAAACTTGATTAGTAGCCAACGGATGAATTGTTTAAATTCTACATATAGAATACAATATTGCAAATGGTAAAACATGCAAACACCAGATGATACTTAGGGTACATAGCCTACATACATACATACATGTTGATATTTATATAGCGCCTTTACATAAACATGCTCAAAGCGCTTTACATTAGTACGACAGAATAACTATTTTGCTCTCCAAGTGCATACACTGCAAATTTGTTGTATACTGTGGTTTAAAGATTCCAGAACAAAAAAATGGAACAAATAACATATTTCATGAAACATAATTCATAAATTAAAGAGCGTCAATACTACTGGGCCAGAAGGGATAGACCACACAGCGAGGTCACTGACAGGAGGCTATCTCATTAACTCAGCTCTCAACTAACATAAGAAAAAGAGGATCATGGGGGACCAACAGGCACCGATTAGGGAAGTTTTCTATATAGAGGGAGCAAGTAGCTACAAGTAGGACAGTGGGGCTTTAATGGAGGGAACTAATTGCATCAAGTTGTAATCTCCTTTAGTTTCGATACATAATCATGTTATGACTTTGGGTTTCATCCTAAAAGCTCACGTTATATTCTTTATATACATTCCCCAGAGGAAAAGAAGTTCCGTCTGATCCAAACTTTTATCTCGATAGCTTGTATCGGATGTCTATTTTGATATTATCCTTCATAAACAAACATCATTTGGCAACGAATGTTTGGCCGAAATCCTTCCTTATTGCGGTTTCACGTGCCCAGGAAATGTTGACGAAATTGTCCCTTTACAAAGTGTAATGAAAAAGTGTAATGATTTTGGTGGCTATATATTCATTGTCTTTAATACTGAATTGATAAAGAAATCATTTCCTTATTTAAACGGGATTTTTACCCAAACTAACAATAACTTTTTGGGGGAGAATGAAAATACATGTGAGTTGATCAAACTTTTACCCCATTACACAATTTAGCAGCTAACACAAATATAACCATGGACTTACTAGACAACCAAGTATCGCTCCATAAATTTCCCTTCTTTGAGGTAGGTATTCTGATCCAAATAACCAGACCTTATCCTCATAACAATATATATCTGTATATAAAACATTTTAGGGTCCTCTTGCGTTCACAAGCAGAATGGTGTACATTTTTCTTTTTGGTCCTTTTCTCAGTTTCCCTCATTGATATATATCTTCAGCCATGTATTTAAAATAGAAGAAAAAACATAACAACAAAGACAATAACTTTCTTCCCAAAACATAGACGTACTTCCTTCAATAACAAACTTCAAGTGTAATATAAATTAAGTATTTTAAGGATAAGGATTGAGTTATCACATCGGAGACGCGCTAGCTCAGTGGTAGAGCAGTGGTTTCGTTAACCGGGAGGTCCCGGTTTCAAAACTAAGTCGATGCACTTGTGCCCTGTGGTAAGACAGTAGTCCTCATTAAACCCGTCGGCCACCTGGTTGCTTATTTACAAGTAAACATATGCTTTCTTAGAAGTGAGGTAAAAAAAAAAGCATCAAATCAGAATCCTGTATGCACCCTGTACGAATATTGTGTACTGAGCCTATTCACAGCTAGGAGTGTCAAGTCTGACAGACATGAGCGCTATACAAGAACCCACTATTATTAGTAGAAGCGAGTTTTCGCTCAGCGACGGACAAGACCTTCTACGACGCAGAGCACTCAGGCTTACGGCCGTCGCACACAGACCGCCCTCGTTACAATACGCGGTTTCGCTTTTCGGTGAACGCGTACGTATAGTACGGAGTATTTGCAATAGGCCATTTTCGTAATGTAACCAAATGTAATGCATAAGTCTTTGTGAAGTGCCTCAATACAAATTATTTCATTCACCTGGTAAGAATAATAGTATTTCAATAGACATAATTCAAACTGCATACATTAGTTGTTGCCAGGTTGGACAAACATTATGGCTTGACCTACCTAGCAACACTTGATATATGCAGTTTGCATTCTGTCTATTGAAATACTATTATTCTTACCAGGTGAATGAAATAATTTGTATTGAGGCACTTCACAAAGACTTATGCATTAAATTTGGTTACATTACGAAAATGGCCTATCGCAAATGCAATACCTCCGTACTATACGTACGCGTTCACCGAAAAGAATAATAGTATTTCAATAGACAAAATCCAAACTGCATACATTAGTTGTTGCCAGTTTGACAAACATTAGGAGTATTTCGCAAGCTCATTGCGGGCAGAGAATCTGCGGTTCGTCTGCAAGATCGAGAAGCTACTATAGTAGGGACTTTTAGATTCGCACGAAGACAATGGGGATTGCTACGATCGACGTCCTTTTAATGCACTGCCTTTAATGGACGTCACATTTTTCAGTCCACGCAAATCTAAAAGTCCCTAATAACAGCGGGGTGACCGCGGATCTACTGAAATCCAGAATGGTTTTCGTCCAAATGCGCCTACGGGCGTTCTCAATGACGCTCGAAGTGAATAAACAGCCAATCAGAGAGCTTGTACCAAAGATGGTTTTAGAAATTTCGTCGTATTATAACGAAGGATGACGAATTTCGACGCGTAGGGGTGGATCTAGCTTTTTTGTTGCGGGGGGGGGGGGGGGTGAAATTTGAAAAATCGCGCCGAACAATATTTCGCTCAGTTGGGGGGGGGGGGGGGTTAGGGTGTATGGGGGCAGTGAGCACTATTTTTTTTCATTAAATCTTGGCCAGCCCAAGGGCTCTTCGGTGAGATTTTTTTTCTTCCGATTATTGTTTCTGAATTATACCAACATGAATATGGATATAACATGAATTGTTTAAA